TTTCCCATACGAAAACTGTTTAATCCCAGTTATCCATCACAGGAACGCGTTGCAGAACGTGGACTTGGCAGCTGTAAACACATGCTGCTACCAACCCGTTAGTCATATAGTCACAAGTGACTTCTTTACTGTTGAGGGGGCACGGGTGGCCCAGTCGTCCAAGGCGCTGCGATTAGCTGTGCAGAGTTGCGTCCCTTGGGCATGCCAGAAACCTATGATTGTGGGTTCGAATCCCGGTTCGCCCCGATTATGTTTCTAGGTTTGTCAGCACCATACCCGTGCTCGTGGGTTTCACCGAAGTGGTAAACGTCTGAGACCTGCATCACTTCGGGCTTTCCTCCCACATTAAGCTAACACGCCGCGATATAACTGGAATACTGTTAAAAGTGGCGTTAAACCCAACTCACTCTTTACTGTTGACAACAACAACATTCAAATATGGCCCAAAAGCCAAATTGGGAAAAGCCTGCTATCATTTGGAATCACAACTCTTTTTGTTCTTCTTTTTTAAAAATATTTTCATTTCAATTCAGTAGACATAAATGTAACATTGGTACATGAGGTATATAAGTGGAGCAATTCATAGAATCTTAAAACATGATCAGGTATGGGTTTATACAATTATTGGATTGACTGATAAGTTATATTAATTAGGCTGATAATTTTTCCATTTTCTGTCGAATGTATTAATACTACTATTTTACATTGCGATATTTATTTTTCTATTTTACATCCATCTTTCAATATTTTTATGAGGAAAGGAAAGCATAATGGAGTTTTCTTAATGCTTGACTGGTGAATGTATGTTTTTGCAAGAAGAGTTGTATGGTTGAAAAGATTCATCTAGAATGGTAATATGAATATCATACACAAGTTTCGAGTTTCTAATCAAAATTCCTTGACACAAACGCATTCTACATAAACATGGTATAAATTTTCAGATTCAGAGACACAAAAAGAGCATACATCATCATCCATTAACTTCATTTTCAATAATTCCTTTTTGGTATACAGAGCTCTATTTATGAATCTGTACTGGAAATTTATCAGTTTAATATCTTTGGTACACATTTTACAATTAGTGAAAACATTATTTCATCAAATGAATTGATTAAGGTCATTTTCCCAATTATCATACATCAGAGGAAAGTTAGTTGTGGCTATGAGTTTCTTATAAAATATTCTGGAGCCCTTTGTTATTATCAACAAGTCTCTCAAAATGTTATTTTTGTATGAATTAACTGTGAGACAAAATCTGCAATTTATTGGTTTTTTTCCAATGATTTTGGGCTATTTAGCATTTCTCTATTGTAGTCAAGTAAAGGAAATTTGTCTTGTGATTCTTCAAATATTAAAAATCTGTTGTTGCTACATAAAACTTTTAAACTATGAATACCCTTATTAAACCAATGTTTTAAAACGAAATTATTTTTAAATTGGTGATTGAACCATATTGGCTCTGGTAAAATTTCGTCAATACTTTGCTTGTTAACTTTATGTTTTCTGTAGAAATTACCCCAAATATTCAATATATCCCTCCGAAAGGGATTTGTCAAAGTAATAACCTTATCAATATTTGCACCCAAAAGAAATATCTGTTTTGTGTGAAAGTTCTTTAATAATGACAAAGTCGATAATTTCAATGAATCGATAAATTTACGGGTATCTATCATTCTCAGACCACCTTCTTCATATTTCCTTATCAAAGTAGATCTTATTATTTTGTCTGGTTTGTTATTCCAAATGAATGTATAAAAAAGTTAATTAAATCTTCCAATAAAATCATCGGGTGGGTTTGAAGTGCTGAAAATATATGAACTAATGTTGAAAGAGCCAGAGTCTTAATAACTGTGATTTTACCTGTTAATCTTTTCCAGCTTCCAAATAATCTAATAATTTTTTCGAGTCTTTTTCTTGTTTTTATTACCCATAGATCATTTTATGTGGGATTCAATATTATTCTCAAGACTTCAAAGTTTCCCTCATGCCAGTCTGGTATTGCGTCCTCACAGAGTTTGGTGTTGCTTCCTGCCATTGAACCTATCCATATAGCTTTAGTTGGAATCACAACTTTACAATCACTTTGAATGCTGTCAAGACGTACGCCAAATATTCAGTTCACACCTTATGTAAACTAAACTGTCTTCTTCAGTATTCATATGCATTGTACCCGATGTACATAGTCAAGCTGTATTAGGACAAACAACATATAATACAAGGAATGTTCAAACTGTAGGACAGAGACATGAATAAGTTGTTTCGAACAGAAACCTTTAAGTGGCTCAGAAGAAAGTGATTAACAATTAAGACCTTTCATTTGTACATGTACAATGTGTGAAACGTATGAATGGCCCCTAAAGTGGACACGGGGTAGTTTAGACAAAGGAATGGCATTTAAAATGGGTGAAACGTAGACAAGGTCCTGAAGGTGTAATTAACCATTGTTCATATTCACAAGATTTGGCACCACCAGAGTTCCACCTCTCCCCAAACGTGAAGAAAGAACTGAGTTAATGATGATGACATCGTTAGGAGGAAGCATTCCACAGGGATCAGAGGGATCCAAGCACAGCATCATTATCAGACGTTTATGGACATCGTAGGAATGGGGCAACTCTATCAATGCAGTCCATCATAGTTAGGAACAGAACATTTAGCCTCTCCCGTGAAAGGTAGTAGACACGTTGAAAGTGATATATGTAGGAATGGACCAAACGGAAAGCGTTATATGTCCGATGAGGTGAGGTGAGGTGAGGTGAGGTGAGGTGAGGTGAGGTGAGGTGAGGTGAGGTGAAATTGGGTTTAACGTCGCGTCCAAGATTATTGCACGTATATAGCGACGTGCATGCACGTGTATGTGTGTGTATGGCTGCTTGTACTAGTCCGGACTGTTGCCGATTTAAAGTGCTAGCTCACTGAGATACCACGCTGCAGTTTAACGTGAATACCCGACTCAGACACAGTATACTGACTCCGAGCCGACCAGTCCTTGTTTTAGCCCCTTAATGCCGAGCGCCAGACAGGGTCACAACAAGTACCATCTTTTAACGTCTTTTGGTATGACGCGGCCGGGGATCGAACTCCGGACCTTCCGCTCTCCGGGCGGACGCTCTACCACAAGACCACGGAGGCGGTCCTCCGATGAGCAATACATTGAAGATGTTGATGTTGATGTAAGACGTTTGAATAACGATTACAGTGGACACGTTGAAATTAGTGTAATGTAGGGATGACCTCTGGAGTGGACACGTGGCATTTTAGATTTGACCAACATGTTGTAAGACTTGACCATGATCGCCCAGTTGAGTGCACAGTGAGTTAGTGAGTATGATTTTAATGCGCTTTTAACAATATTCCAGCAATATCACGGCAGGGAACACCAGAAATGGTCTTCACACATTATATGTTGGGAATAGAATCTGGGTCTTCGGCGTGACGAGCGAGCGCTTTAACCACTAGGCTACCCGACCGCCCCTTGACTCCACAGAACGGTGTGTGTCTCAGGGCAACTGTGCAATCATTTTGTGAAACGTTCACATTGGATCAAGTCATTGACAGTTTTCTCTGTACGTTAAATGGTAGTTTGGGTTTGTACTTTTGAGCAATTTCATTAAATTATAAAACATTTTTCGAAGGTTCCCTCTAATCTTAAAAGGACGAGGTATGTGAAGGGCCCTTTCTACCACTGAAATGTTGAATTTAAAAATGAATGAAAGCTTTTCTTTTTCTCTAATTGTGAGTAGGTCCGGTGATTTTTGTCTTATGTTTCTGTATGTTTCTTCTGTTTTGATCTACATCTCCAAAGCAAAATGGCTTGGGTCAAAGAGTTGCTTTTGTGCAAAAGTTTTAACAAATAAGCCAAGTACATGTCTGTCGAACATTTGATTTTTCAACTCTGTACATCACTATACCACACTATATGTTTAAGTAAAAACGTCATTCATTGATGCATGGGGCATTGTCTACAGCATTTGGTGACCATTGGTAGAGCTACGTCACTCTCTTCAAAGGTTTAGGACAATTTGTCAAAATGAAAGCATATGTCATCTGAAGTTCACTGAGAAAACAATATGTGAAATCCTTGACTTCCCCACAGATAACTTTTATGTGGGATTACGGGATAGGCAAGAAAGCAGGCACCAATTGAGTTCCCATCTATGCAGATGGAAATTACTTTCTGCTCGGATTGGCAAAATGAAAACATGGAAATTTGGTCAAGTAGTTTAACTTTTCTATGATCTGATATTGCTAAATAAGGTTATCTGTTTCACAAGACGGAATGACATTGTCAAGTAGGATGCCTCAGCTTTTAGTCAGTCAACTTTCCCTTTATGTCTGGTAATATTCCAACCTTTGTCTACATTTGTACAATAGAGCATGCTCTTTCTGCGAAGATGTCAAAGTCATGCGACTCATGCTCAAAAGTTGTTTGATCAGGGTTCAATACTTCAGTGAGGTTTTTAAAACGTATTATGGTAGACACCGAGAGGGCATTTCCCGTATATTTTTAAGGTAAACGCCTGCTTTTCCATCACCTTTTAAGGACACGCTGACATTTTACATAACACCTGATAACATCACTAACTGATACTGATAAGTCGGAGTCATACAAAGGACTCAACTTTAAGCAGAATTCTGATGATAATGGAAATGGTTTTGCGTTTTATTATCATGTGCTTAAACAGTGCCTCCTGAAAACCTCCACCATCAGCGTTTATTCACACAGTTCAGCCTTTCCTATATGTATAGTACTGGTATAAGTCCACATTCAAACATTGATATGGACATGGTCAAGTTCCCACTCATATAAATACATCTGATAGCTTTCATGAGCTTTGCTCATTTATTGAATTATGCAGATCCTTATCATATCCTGTACTCAAATCTAAATGAGTCCATATCATACACACTATATAATCCTTTATTCACTTCTGATAAATCTGCATCGCATATGATTGCAATAAAGGTTAAAGCCAGTAACATTCCAAAACAAAGACACATTATAATTTGACGTTATTTATTTGAAAGACTTGTACATTGCAGATTATGTAGTGAGGATTTCAAGCCTGGATGTCATGGATGCCATATCCGTATTATCTTCATCCCTGAAAATAGAGAATGTTACGTTTATAACATTCTAAATGCATACCATAATTGGGTACATGATCCTCTATTCAAATCCATTATCAAGTACATTATGGCAACTTTTCATTGGCTCTGTGTACAATACATATATTTATTGCAGTATGTAAGTGAGTGAGTGAGTAACAATATTCCAGTCATATCACCGCGAGGCAGGTTAATGTGGAAAGAAAGCCCGAAGTGATGCAGGCCTCAGACGTTTGCCACTTCAGTGAAACCCACGAGCACGGGTATGGTGCTGACAAATCTAGAAACATAATCGGGGTGAACCGGGATTCGAACCGACAACCATAGGTTTCTGGCGTGCCAAAGGGACGCAACTCTGCATAGCGAATCGCGGCACCTTAGACGACCGGGCCACCCGTGCTCCTTGCAGTATGTCATAACCGAAACAATCACCAAGTAACTGGGTAAGATGAAGATCATTTGTCAGAGTATTCTAAACATTCTGTCACGTTTTGTTGTTTTCACAGGGAGGAATAAGACACCTACATGGTAAGCGCCATGTTTCTGGTTGTGCGTCTGTGATCCCCACTGGTTCTGTCGGTGACCTGCAAATATGCAAATGTTTTATTGCACATGGAAAAGTGAAAGAGACACAATTGTATATTTTACGACCACTTCCAGCGTTGCTTAATTTGCACTCTGCAACCTCATTAAATATAAATGAACAGAAATGGACATGTCTTAAAAGTCGTTGTGTTTAAATATGTATGTATTGTGACTGATAAAGTTGACCGAGATGTTCATTTGTGGTATGACATCAATAGAGAAGTTGTTGTATATGAAATAGGCTTAGGTACCTTGTTGGTAACTGTCTTGATGTCCAGGGTAGGTGTTCACGTGGTCAGGGTAGGACGGGATGTGTTTTGATGGGTAGGAAGGTTGGTGTGAGGGATAGGTAGGGTAGCCATTAGACGGGTAGGTCTGTCTGTAACTCGGATATCCATTGCCATGGGACGGCACAGATCGTCGGTATCCTGGTCAAATTAAAACATTATTATGTTATTGTCATGTTTCTTCGTCAGCCATTTATATTAGAATGAACATCATGTCTAAAATGAAAGAATATGTACATTGTAAAGCAGTGGCTGAGTATGGTTGTATGTCGCTTTTAGCAATATTCAAGCAATATCACGGCAGGGGACACCAGAAATGGGCTTCACACATTGTACCAATGTCGGGAATCGAACCCGAGTCTTCGGCATGACGAGCGAACGCTTTAGCCACGAGGCTACCCGACCGCCCCACATTGTAAAGCAAATACTTACGACGAATATGTATAATTTATATGATACATCCAGTATTAATAAAGTAAATGCCATAACCTGTGCTGAAAAATGAAATCACGTTCATAAGAGAGGATTACAAAATAAAGTGAGCTAAGTAAAAAAGCCTTACAGACAAATACGTATATTTTAAAGTTTACTGCCAGAAACGGGGAGTAACTTTACAAGTTTATAAGCTTAGCGTATAACAATAAGAATATAAGAATCCTAAACTATTAATTTTTGTCAGATACAGAATGATATGTGATAATAAAGACTCACTTTTATAATGTCCCTGAGAGTGTCCTCCCCACACATCTGGAAGGAATACAAGTCTACATGAACAAATCTGTTTCATAAGACGTTGTACATGAAGGTGTACGTATATATTGAATGCATACATTTAAAAAATATAGAAGGGGGTGGTTAAACAAGTCGTAAACGCACCAGACGTATGCATATCGGTTTTCAAAGAAAACACTGCATTGATACTTCCTTTGCAATAAACGTAGAATTCATTATTCCATTCTGATAACAAACTTCTTATGTATTTCATTTGCCTATAATGGTTTATAGATTATTTTTTTAAACAAGTTTCATTATAGTGATTTTTATTTTACTTATTGGTACACTAGTGAGTCAAAATTGAAGTGGGGTTTAACGTCACGTTCAATATTATTGCACACATAATTATAAAGCGATGTGATTGCACGTCTGTGTGTGGTTGCGTGTACGAGTCCGGACTAATGCCGGTTTTGTAAGGCTATGGCATGCCACAGTTTAACATAGATACCCAAAATAGACACAGTATCCTGACTCCGAGCCGACCAGTCCTTGTTTTGTCCACGTTGGAAAGATATACGATGTACCTCTGTCACACATACAAGTATCGAAAGCATTGTCTTCTTTTTAACAACTAACCCTTTTATCCTCATAAGAAATCTCTGCTAAAAGCAGAGTCCATTCTACGTCGTAAATACATGCAAAGGCAAGTTAAGTGTTCACCTAAACAAGTATGGAAACATAGAAATCAAAAGATGCATCGGGCATCATCATGGTCACTGATGCGTCAAAATTATACTCCTTGAAAGTGGGTGCGAAGTTGTCTATGTTCGATAAGTCTTATTAATTGATACTGCTATTGACAATTTCTTTTATAATTTTCTACTTTGGATATTATGTAATTCAAGTTGATGCTTAACAGAAATTACATAATCAAGACTAAATCAAGACCTAATCAAGGCGGATAATCGAGACTGGTTATTCTCTGGCATTGACGTTTTATCTTAAATCACCAGCAGGATACGTATATGGGTAATAGTTGCTTGGGTAGCTCTTAGGTAGGCATTGGTCCCTGTATTGCACATCCGGGTACTGACCGTAGGGTGGATATCGGTTATAAACAGCACGAGAACATACAGAGGCGCCTGCAAACAAAAGGACGTTTACCCTCTTTATTTTTGAAAAATATTCCCTTTGATATTGAATCCAGTCAGACTAGACTATGCTAGATGTTGAATTGTTCAACAAACCTCATCAGCTGCATAGTTGAATGCATCAATCAGTATTAACATTCGGATATTCAGAACTTCAAGTGCATGCTTATATAAGGTCAAACGTTGCTTCACGTACCAGCAGGGTAATGGTTGTTCTGGTAGTTGTTAGGGACGTACTGGCCCCTGTATTGCTGCCCGTAGGATGGGTACTGGTTGTACACAGCACCGGAACATACAAAAGCGCATGCGCACAGTAGAACGAGAGACAAGACAGATTCCATGGTTGAGATTCTGCAAATATAACATGATTCTGTTAAATATCGTCATAATATTGACTGAATTTTTATGTTAACATAGGTTCAATAAACAAAGGTTAAGTTGATAATTGGACGGTGGGGTTCCCTAGTGGTTAACGCGTTCGCTTGGCACGCCGAAGATCCGGGTTCGATTGTCCACATGGGTACAATGCGTGAAGCCCATTTCTGGCGGCCCCCGCCCCCCAACTTATTTACCAAGTTAATAATTGAATTCTTCCATGCCTGTGTTGTGAACGAATAACCTTTTTAAATATTAGAATACACCTCTTCATTTTGGAAGAAGTACAAAAATGTTACCCATGTAAAAGAACAATTTGTCCATAAATTTCAGTGAGAAATAGTAAGTACCAGAATACTCTTACCAGAATATCCAGCTGTAAGACCAGGGATGAGAGCTGATGTGATAAGCTGGGCCTTATATAGGATTGACTAGACACATTGATTGATGCAAGGAAATCAGCATTTCCTTATTACCTGCTATTTTTTATGTTAAGAGCTACAGCCAATAAAACAAATTACTGTGACCTCATGGATTAATGACAACGAATTTCGCAAGTAAACCATCCCTTCAAACTCTATTTTTGTGTGTCATCTGTTATGTACGATGAGAAAGAAATCAACTGTTAAATGCTAAATATACAGTGACTGCTTTGTTCAAATCGATGAGGCAAGCATTGCTGTTTGTAATTGTAAACTGTGTCAGGAATGGATTGTGAACTGACATTGACCATAACAAGTAAACAGTTATCTATTCTACTAGTGATACTGATACCAATACCTATATTACTGATGCTAATTAACACTGCTAGTTTGTTTTTTTTATGAAGTTAACTGCTACTACTACTACTACTACTACTACTACTACTACTACTACTACTACTACTACTACTACTACTACTACTACTACTATTACTACTACTAAAGCTTCTACTGGGGGCACGGGTGGCCCAGGCCATGTCGTCTAAGCCACCGCAATTTGCTGTACAGAGTTGCATCCCTAGGCACACCAGGAACATGTGATTGTGTGTTCGAATCCTGGTTCCTGGTTCGAATTATGTTTCTAGGTTTGTCAGCACCATACCCGTGCTCGTGGGTTTCACTTAAGAGGTAACGTCTCAGACCAGCATCACTTCGGGCTTTAAGCTGAGACGCCGTGATATAACTGGAATACTGTTAAAAGCGGCGATAAACCTCACTCACCTCACTCACTCACTCACTCACTCACTCACTCACTCACTCACTCACTCACTCACTCACTCACTCACTCACACACTCACTCACTCACTCACTCACTCACTACTATTACTACTTCTGCTGCTTCGGCGACTGCTACTATTACTACTGTTACGACCACAAACCAATGAGTCACTGAGTCTTTCTTTGTCTCTGTACTGAAATGATACAGGTCCATAGTGAGTGAGTGAGTGAGTATGGTTTTACGCCGCTTTTAGCAATATTCCAGCAATATCACGGCGGGGGACACCAGAAACGGGCTTCACACACAGCGAACGCTTTAACCACTAGGCTACCCGACCGCCCCACAGGTCCATAGTACCTGTATTACAATGTGTATGGCATGGCACGATATTATTATTTCCAACATAAGATTGTACATCTTGATGATAATCAATAAAGGAATCCCATTTTAGGGAACTTATCCTATGAAAATAAAACCCTAATCAGTCACTTCTAATCCAATGCTTCAGTCCACAATAACTGTACCTACTGGTGGTACCACTTCAGCTGCACATGTAACAAAATATGTTGTTGTTACTGTCCAGAGATCTCTTTCATATATTTTGAATATAATTTTTTATCTGTTTCGGTGTATGATCGAGACTCGTTCTCTGGCGTTGTCTTTTTGTATTTACTGCTGACTTTTTTTATAGTTACCTCTGCCGCTACTACAGACAAGTGTGTAAACACTATCACTTATAATAACGGAAAGAAAAGAAAAACGCAAAGGAATAGGACATTTATTTCCAAGCTTTCATGACTCACTCTGCGTCTCGCTAACCGGAGATGACAACTCATACTGCTACTATTACTGCTTGGTGAATGCGACTGCTACTATTCGCTATGTCAATACATTAACATGACAACTCATACTGCTACTGTTACTGCTTGGTGAATGCGACTGCTACTATTCGCTATGTCAATACATTTAACACGACAACTCATACTGCTACTGTTACTGCTTGGTGAATGCGACTGCTACTATTCGCTATGTCAATACATTTAACATGACAACTCATACTGCTACTATTACTGCTTGATGAGTGCGCCTGCTACTATTCGCTATGTCAATACAATAAACATGACAACTCATACTACTATTGTTACTGCTTGGCGAATGCGACTGCTACTATTCGCTATGTCAATACATTTAACACGACAACTCATACTGCTACTGTTACTGCTTGGTGAAATCGACTGCTACTATTCGCTATGTCAATACAATAAACATGACAACTCATACTACTATTGTTACTGCTTGGCGAATGCGACTGCTACTATTCGCTATGTCAATACATTTAACAAAACAACTCATACTGCTACTGTTACTGCTTGGTGAAATCGACTGCTACAATTCGCTATGTTAATACATTTAACGTGACAACTTATACTGCTTCTATTACTGCTTGGTGAATGCGACTGCTACTATTCGCTATGTCAATACATTTAACATGACAACTCATACTGCTACTATTACTGCTTGGTGAATGCGACTGCTACTATTCGCTATGTCAATACATTTAACACGACAACTCATACTGCTACCATTACTGCTTGGTGAATGCGACTGCTACTATTCGCTATGTCAATACATTTAACACGACAACTCATACTGCTACTGTTACTGCTTGGTGAATGCGACTGCTACTATTCGCTATGTCAATACATTTAACATGACAACTCATACTGCTACTATTACTGCTTGGTGAATGCGACTGCTACTATTCGCTATGTCAATACATTTAACATGACAACTCATACTGCTACTGTTACTGCTTGGTGAATGCGACTGCTACTATTCGCTATGTCAATACATTTAACACGACAACTCATACTGCTACCATTACTGCTTGGTGAATGCGACTGCTACTATTCGCTATGTCAATACATTTAACATGACAACTCATACTGCTACTGTTACTGCTTGGTGAATGCGACTGCTACTATTCGCTATGTCAATACATTTAACACGACAACTCATACTGCTACCATTACTGCTTGGTGAATGCGACTGCTACTATTCGCTATGTCAATACATTTAACATGACAACTCATACTGCTACTGTTACTGCTTGGTGAATGCGACTGCTACTATTCGCTATGTCAATACATTTAACATGACAACTCATACTGCTACTGTTACTGCTTGGTGAATGCGACTGCTACTATTCGCTATGTCAATACATTTAACATGACAACTCATACTGCTACTGTTACTGCTTGGTGAATGCGACTGCTACTATTCGCTATGTCAATACATTTAACATGACAACTCATACTGCTACCATTACTGCTTGGTGAATGCGACTGCTACTATTCGCTATGTCAATACATTTAACATGACAACTCATACTGCTACTATTACTGCTTGGTGAATGTGACTGCTACTATTCGCTATGTCAATACATTTAACACGACAACTCATACTGCTACCATTACTGCTTGGTGAATGCGACTGCTACTATTCGCTATGTCAATACATTTAACACGACAACTCATACTGCTACTATTACTGCTTGGTGAATGCGACTGCTACTATTCGCTATGTCAATACATTTAACATGACAACTCATACTGCTACTGTTACTGCTTGGTGAATGCGACTGCTACTATTCGCTATGTCAATACATTTAACATGACAACTCATACTGCTACTGTTACTGCTTGGTGAATGCGACTGCTACTATTCCCTATGTCAATACATTTAACATGACAACTCATACTGCTACTGTTACTGCTTGGTGAATGCGACTGCTACTATTCGCTATGTCAATACATTTAACACGACAACTCATACTGCTACTATTACTGCTTGGTGAATGCGACTGCTACTATTCGCTATGTCAATACATTTAACATGACAACTCATACTGCTACTGTTACTGCTTGGTGAATGCGACTGCTACTATTCGCTATGTCAATACATTTAACATGACAACTCATACTGCTACTGTTACTGCTTGGTGAATGCGACTGCTACTATTCGCTATGTCAATACATTTAACACGACAACTCATACTGCTACTATTACTGCTTGATGAGTGCGACTGCTACTATTCGCTATGTCAATACAATAAACATGACAACTCATACTACTATTGTTACTGCTTGGCGAATGCGACTGCTACTATTCGCTATGTCAATACATTTAACAAAACAACTCATACTGCTACTGTTACTGCTTGGTGAAATCGACTGCTACAATTCGCTATGTTAATACATTTAACGTGACAACTTATACTGCTTCTATTACTGCTTGGTGAATGCGACTGCTACTATTCGCTATGTCAATACATTTAACATGACAACTCATACTGCTACTATTACTGCTTGGTGAATGCGACTGCTACTATTCGCTATGTCAATACATTTAACACGACAACTCATACTGCTACCATTACTGCTTGGTGAATGCGACTGCTACTATTCGCTATGTCAATACATTTAACATGACAACTCATACTGCTACTGTTACTGCTTGATGAGTGCGACTGCTACTATTCGCTATGTCAATACATTTAACACGACAACTCATACTGCTACTGTTACTGCTTGGTGAATGCGACTGCTACTATTCGCTATGTCAATACATTTAACACGACAACTCATACTGCTACTGTTACTGCTTGGTGAATGCGACTGCTACTATTCGCTATGTCAATACATTTAACACGACAACTCATACTGCTACTGTTACTGCTTGGTGAATGCGACTGCTACTATTCGCTATGTCAATACATTTAACATGACAACTCATACTGCTACTGTTACTGCTTGGTGAATGCGACTGCTACTTTTCGCTATGTGAATACATTTAACATGATAACTTATACATGCAGTTCCATCTCTACACATCTACATATTCTTTCCATTGTCAATAAGTAACCGACGTGTGTCGCAGTGAATCACCTGGGGTTTTTCCGCTGTCAGTGTGTAAAGATTAACGTGTGTTGCAGCTGGCAAACTGCTGATTCACTGCACTTCGGATATCTTGGTAATCTCAGACAGTGTGACATCAATGAGCCATTCCCACACAGGTTTTCAACCACACATTCGTCAAACATGTCAAATCTCACGCCTCCTTTAATATATTGTTAATGAGAACGACTGGCTTTTTTCTGAAATTTCAACGTCATTGTGAAATATTATGTAATGTAA